GGTGGAGTGCGAGGGACATTTCCAGGTGTTTGACTTTACCTAATCTTGAGGGGGGAGGGGGGCCATTCAGCGAGTTAACAGTTCATCCTCTAGAGGGAAGGCAGTTCATTCCCAGTTCATTACATTTATTACTAAATTTTTAATCTAGAGGAGGTTTTTTTTTAAAAAAAGAGTTATTTATTTATGCATACAAGAACTGGGGTACAGTCCAGAGGCGCGGGAGGTGAGAGGATTCACCAACGTGGGGAGCAGAACAGGCAGACTGACTGAAACACACTGCTGAGGGGAGCAGCGGGCGAGCCGGGAGAGGTCTGCTGCGCCATGTGGGTCACCTCCCTGGCTCACTGGGGATGGGAAGCTTCACAACGCTGTGCGCAACTGCTTGCGCCACCAGGGAGGCCCTGGAGGAGTTTTTTGTTGTTGCAAAATGAAGGGGACCCAGATACAGGAGTCTGAACTTTGACCCAAAGGTTTGGGGCACGAGTCCCTGACTGATCTGGACAAGGAGACCGGTGCTTGTTGTGAGAGCTGGAGCAGGTCTGGAAGGCGACTCGGCGCCGGGAGGGGCGCCCAGGAGGCTGTTGCAGTTGCTCAGAGGAGGCTGGAAGGCCTGGCGGCCTGGGAGGCGCATTCGGAAGGCAGAAGGGCAGTGGAGCCCTGGGGTTAAGGGGCTTCCGCTCCTGTCTGGGCAGCGTCTGGGGAGCAGATGGCAGCTCTGGGCAGAGTCTGGGGAGCAGGTGGATGGCCCCGCAGGGAGGGAGTATGCCAGGCTTGCCCCAGCTGCGGCTGTGCTGTCTGTGAACTGCTGGTGACGCAGGCCTGGACTCCTGGGCACCTTCCCCTTCAGCCCCTCAGCCTTCCCAGAGCAGCGAGTACCTGAGGTGCATGGGGTTCTGTCTGTGCTCTGGAACTCTAGGGGTCTGGCTCCTCTTTATCTCCTTCAGAAAATTAAAGGCTTGGGAACCTTCAAAACCATCATCAGTGATATACACACAATCCGGTCTTGGCAGTTGCAATGAAACAAAAAATTGCTCTGTGGGTTATTTTCAGAAAGTCTCTCCGCCAGAGTCTGCCGTCACCTCCAGGAAGGGTCCCCACATCAAGCATGACTGGCAAGGACAGGGTTCTCCTGGCAATAGCTAAACGAGTGGCCGAGTGGCCAGGGCTTCAGCCTCGGAGAGTTCGCAGTCACAGGGCAGGCGGCTGGGGCCAGCGCTGCCTCCCCCAGGAGTGGTTCAGGGAAAGCTCCCAGCCCACGGCCTCCTGAGAACATGAGTGTCCCTCCTGGAGTCTCTTGTCAGCCTTGGTGGGGTACTGTGCACCCCTTAAAACGGGGTAGATGACACTACCAGCCTCCTCTCAGGGTTGCTGAGAGAACTGAGGAGGGTAAGACGCGTGAAGTGCAGGCGGCCTGTGGGGCCATGGACCAGAGTCTTTGACTTCGTTCACCTCGCACTCCACGGCACCCCTCACCCCCCCACAGCTGTTACCACGTTGCCTCCAAGGATGGGAGCAGGGCCCCGCCTGCTGGCTGTGTCCTGAACTGCGCCTCGGCCCCAGCTCAGAGGTGGAAAGCTCTGGGGAAACAGCCATGATTTTTATTCCGTGGCTACAGATACCAACCCCAGGCCGCAGGGCGCGCACCCAGAGCTTCCACCACCTCTATCGTATGCTGGGGCTTTAATCCACCTTCATTCCCTTTGTGCCCGCAGCTGCCCCTGCTTGAGGTGCCCTCACCCCACCACTTGGAAAAAAACAAAAAACAAAGGTCACTCCTCTGAAGCTTTCCAGGAGCTGCTTTTTTTTTTTTTTAAAGATTTTATTTATTTATTTATACAAGCACTGGGTACAGTCAGAAGCACGGGAGGGTGAGAGAATTCACCAGAGCCAGAGCGGGGAGCAGAGCAGGCAGAAGGACCGAAGTTCACTGCTGAGGGGAGCAGCGGGCGGCAGGAGAGGTCTGCGCGCCATGTGGGACTCTCCTCTGGTGGCCGGGGAGCAGCCGGGGATCGAACTGGCGCTGCAGAGGCTGCAGGCAGCTTCACAACCCAGCGCTCAACCGCTGCGCCACCGGGGAGGCCCAGATTTTATTTATTTTTGAGTAGAAGAGCTGGGGTATAGGCCAGAGGTGTGGGGAGGGTGAGAGGATTCACCAGAGACAGAGTGGGGAGCAGAACAAGCAGACGGACCGAAAGCACTGCTGAGGGGAGCAGTGCGTGCGACAGGAGAGGTCTACTGCGCCATGTGGGTAGCTCCCTGGCCAGGGATCCAACTCAGGCCTCAGCAGTGACAGGGCTGAGACTTACACCCTAGGCCACCAGGGAGAACCTAGGAGCTTCTCCTCATAGCCCCTTTCCTTCCTGCAGACGAAACCACTGAGGAACATTCTCTTCCACATTCTTCCAACATTTGGACTTACCTCTGTGGCAGAGCATTAGAATGCATGTCCCCCTAGCTTGGAGGAGACTCACTAGAGGTCAAGGGTGGCCTTGTTCATCTGCTACTCGAAGACTTTTTCTAACACTTGAATCTGACCAGTAACTGTCCCATCTGAAACTTCCCCAAGGAAGAAGTCTCCCCCACTCTGGACGAGCTCTTGCCAGCTCTGGGTAAGGAGGGTGTAGGAGGGGGAGAGTCATCTGCACTTTCCAAGATTTCTTCATGAGTGTGTCTTTGCTAATTTTTTAAGTAGAGAAAATATTCCTTCAGAGGTTCCTGGTACTTTCAAATTCCCCAGCAAAGCTCAAAGGGTCTCTGCCGTTCTGATTCCTCTTCCTCCTCCCCACCAGTCATGCCTGCGTCCTCCATGTCCCTCTCACATTGGCTCCTGCCAGGACAACCTTGGTCCACACTCTCCCACACAGCTTAATCCTGCTCACTCTTCAACGATCCGTTCAAATGTCAGCTTCTCCCTAGAAGCCTCCCTGACCCCCAGGGCTTTGCTCATCTCCACTGCCCTGACCCTGTCTACACCTTGAGTAAGGTGCTCAGCAGTGGGGAGTGTGCGTGTCCCCCTTGTAGACAGCCCCTCGTAGGGAGGACATTTCCACATCCCGGCTCACACATGTTCAAGCCACTGATGGAAAGAAGCGAGTCCCCCCGGCATGGTTGCTCACAAGCAAAATGAAGGATCTAGACAAGATCCCCTAAGTCCCTTGGGCCCTAAAATTCCAATTGTCATCTAACAGTGTACGTATTTTAGGCAAGTGATGACACCATCAGGGTCTGAAGCCAGGATGTCAGGTGTCTTCCTCCGCCCTCCCCCACCAGGGGAAGGAACGCGGGTCATCCCTTCCCTCCATAGCAAGTGGCCCATAGCAAGTGTGCAGAGGACTCCAAGGAAACTGTAGGCCTGAGACCAAAGAGGGGAGAAGCTGAGCTCCTCGGCAACATTGTGCTCACCTGAGCAACCATCACTTGCCGGCTCTTGTGGTGAATGGGAGGGGCCTCCTCACCTAGCGCTGCCCTGAGCCCTTCCGGGGGAGCTCACCTCTGAGGGGCACTAAAATACGATGTGCGTGCATCAGACTTGGGGGCCAGGTGAGCCAGGATTCCCAGACAGGCCTCACATGGTGAAGCTCCCTGGCCAGGCCAGTCCCGCTTCCACTAGTGAGCTGGGCCCTCAACGGGGCCGGAAATAGCCTGCAGGTTGGCTATTTCCTGTTGAGACTTTGTGGGGAGCGAGTTTCACTTTGCTGCTCAAACACTCTGAAGCCAAGGAAGGTGCAGCGCCATCCCTGTGATGGCAGGAAGGGACGGAGCAGGATCTCTATGACCCGAGCAGACGGGTAAAGGAGAGTCCTGGAGCCCTCGGTGGCTTTTCAGGCTTTTATTGGGATTTACCAGGTACACAGCAGGCAGGGGTGCTGGGGGGCCGGCCCCAGCAAGTCTTCACTCTTTCTGGGCTCTCTGGCCTTCTCTCTGCTCCTCTTCTATTTGTTCCTCTTCTGCTTGCGGCCCCATGCCTCCGCCCTTATAAGCCCAGTCTGAGCCCAGGTGAATCCACTCATGCATGCCCACACCCTCCTCCAGGTGCCCGCCATCAGGCATGCTTTCAGGACCGCGGGGATCCATCATCCAGCCTAATGGCGGGAGGGCAGAAAAGCCTGCTATGATTTTTTACCTTACCCTACAATCTCTTACCAGGAAAGATTTATCTTGACCAGATCTAAATCCCTTAATATTACCTTCCAATGAATGGTTCCGCTTGGGAGACTTTATAAACACTCCCGAGCTGCAGCCCGTGGAGCACAGGCTGTGTCACTTGTTGGCCAAGCGCATCCTGCACCCTGGAGGCTGCAGTAACCTCGGGCTCTGAGCAGGCTACAGGTCACCTGACTCCGCTCAGTGTGGTTAGAGGAAAGCTTGCTTCTGAGCCTGTTTTCTGTGAAATGGGGACAAAAACAGTATTTCTCTTCGTGGCATGGCAGGGGGTGCTCAGTGAGTGCCCCGTAACCAGCACGATCAGGAGCCTTTGGGATGAGGAAGGTCTCCTCGGAAGAGAGGGTGACTTTATGGACCCCACCCTCTAGCAGGCTACCCCGCCCCTCCACGCTCCTTGTGGCATGTTTGTCGCAAAGCCACATACATTAGGTCTAGCCTACAAGGCACGGCCGTTCCATCTGATCTCCAGCTGCAGCCCCTTCGAAACTTCCCCAACTGCAGCTTGTTTGCTCCTGTGCCACCTGAGCTATCGCTCAAATGCGTGCAGCTGTGACGAGGGTGGGTGACCAGACTTAACCCCAGGACAAGTGCCTGAGCCTAGCCCCGCCCTGCCCCATCTGCTGCTGATGAAGGGCAGAAGGCACCTCCTAACCCACTTTGCTCCATGAGGCTTCAGTCTGGGGACTGGAATCTAATTAGAATCTCTGCAGTCATCAGGAGCATCTTTATTTGTGGCTATAAAACGGGGACAGTGTATCACCTCCCAAGCCTGCAAGCGCACCTCCGACAAACACTCCCCAGTGGCAGTGGTCATGGCAACGGAGTCAGACAGCACCCAAATGACAAAAGTTACATTTAATTTACAGTGTAATAAAGGTTACAGGTAAAAAGCTACACATAAAGCTTGAAAAGGCCTATTACACAAATGTACAAATCTCTGTACAAATCTCATGTCGATGTTTCCTACCTTGGTCTCCTGTGCTGTTAGCCAGGTCTACCTGGAGTTCTAGATCACGAGAGCTCTGTCGAGGGGGAAGAGCCTCCACGCCAACAACTAAAGAGGTCCTCTTAGAGACGGCGGTCACTTGCAAAGTAAACTCGTTTCCCTTTTAAATGAAATTCTCTAACTGGCCATATCCTTTAAAAAATGCCTTCACAGCACACTTGAGAAGAAAAGTAACGTTTTGGAGTAGAGGATAAGTAGTCTGGAATCAGATGAGGAACTTAGGCAAGTAGAGGACTCAGATCTGACAAGAACAGGCAAGATTCAAACAATACTTAAGTTTAAAAGCATCAACCTGTGTCTATGGCACTGGTCACAGACAGAGGAAAATCAAAATGTTCCCAGTCCAACAGAAAGGACAGGAGAGTGTCTAACCACTGGACCTCCAAACCACTGACCCAGGAAAACATTTTTGAGTTTAAACCTTAGTTTAACTGAAGAATTCTAAGCCAACCTGAGATCTGTGGGAACCCTTTTGCTACCTGGAACTTGTAGGGACAGTAAATATAAATTAGGCAGGAGATGTGATGCCTCCAAAGCTCTGGTTTCAACCTTGAAAGCCTGGAATCTTTCCTTAGGGTGTGTGATTTTAAATAAAAGTTATCCTAGAAATAGAAAGAGGGAGAAGAGAAAGAAGAGGTAATGGAAAGCCCGGGGAAGAGCCAGGGCAGTCTCTTGAAAGGAAAACGTGAAACACTTCTCCACGCTGAAAGTGTCCTGAAGACAGGTCTTCACAGGATATTTCAACCCACCCCCCGTTTTAATAGTACATGGTTAGGACCCCAGGAGACGTCTGAAAGACGATACTGCACACATGGAAAGTTTTTCTCCCTAGTTCATTAACTCCCCCATTACCCTTCACCCCAATCCCACCCCATCCCACCCTTCTCCATGACCAAAAATATCAAATCAGTAAGGATGGCGTGGGCTTCTTGCCCGGCCAAGCTTCTTTTGCATATTTCTTCTTTTTGGGTTCGTTGACAGCTTCGGGGTTGTAGACTGCGGGGTTTGGTGCAGGGTTCATGTTCACTGCTGATGGCACGACGGGAGTCAAGTCCACGTCCGGGGCAAGGTTGGGGTATGGCATGGGTAAGCCACCAATCAGTGCTGTCCCGTGGATGCCATGAGGCTGGGAGCCGGCTTCACTGTGCGTGGGGGGCAGGCCCCCGTAGAGTCCTCCACTGAATGCAAAGTTCTGCATGCGCCGGGCCCCCGTTTCCTCCAGGCCCAGGGAGCCAGGGCCCTCCACCCGCTTCTTCTGTGGATCACACGAACAGAGAGAAGAGGTGAGCACAAGAGAAGTGTTAGTCTTTCTTAGTCCAGTCCTAGACAGATTGGGGAAGGACCCTAAACTTCTAGCTTGTTTTGTTTCCTGGACAACCCACAGCTCTGCTGACGTCGCGGGGCTGACGAGACCGCAGAGTGGTCCTCTGACACGCTGGCTCCCCACACACGGCGCCAGACAAGCTGTCCCTCCCTCATCACACCAAGAAAAGTGAGACAGCAGGCGAGCTCTTCAGAAAGTGAAACTTCCTTGGTTTAAGTGACTATTATTTATCCTAAGGTCACACACCCTCTCTTTGAAGGTAAAATCCCTCTTAGGAAACGGAAGTGACAGGAAGTGGCAGATGGGCGAGGGCGTTTAAATCTTCCTCTGGGGGATAAACACCTTCATACCGGGTGTCCAATTTGTAAACAAATGTGTAGCAACTAACCAGTTGACTGGCCGCCTGCGGTTGTGAGTGGAAGGAACTGACTGCAAAGGGATAGGAAGGAATTTTCTGGGGGTGGGGTGGGGGAAATGGACATTTTCTATATCTTGATTACGGTAGTGCTTACCTGCATGGACACATCTGTCAAAATGTGTGCATTTTATGTGAATTATAGCAAAATGCAATTGATATGAAAGTATAAATATCTGCTGGTTTTATACTTTAATGACAATAGACTATTTCAAAAGGAGGAGGAAAAGAAAGAGCTGAAGGGGAAATATGACCTGACTACTATGGAACTGCACAGAAAAATGTCACCTTGCATTTTTTCACACTGGACTAGAGCTCACGGAAGACCCCCTCACCCGCCTGTGCCTCAGATTAAAAAAAGACTAACCAGGAATCTGACACACCATGGTCTATTCTAAAGAGGTTTTTAAAATAAAAATCTCTACAGCCTCTCTGTCTAGCATCTTCCAATCACTTTTTGAACTGTTCTTCTGACAGGGGTCTCACCACTTTGAGGGGCAGCTGTTCCCTGTGTCATCTACGTGTTGGACAATCAGAACGTCTGTGTAATTTCCACTCCCTAGCTCTGCCACAAACTTGATCTTTAATCTAATTCAGATCTGGGCTGGCTTTCCTATTTGCGCTATTTCCATTCATAACAAAAAGGTATAGCAAAAGTCAGAGGTTGCAGAAATGCAACAATGGCTTTTACTCTGAATTAAAAGGGAAAGGCTGAAGGTCAGTGGGCCTTGCTGCATCCTACTGGGAGGTAAATTTACAGACTCACATCACATCATAATTTACACGTATCAAAGTGGATGGTCACCTGCAGCCTTCTTATGGGACTCTAGGGAATTCTAGATGTAGACAGGTGAAAGTATTTTGAGAGACTCCAAAATGAAGAGTAAAGAGTGTGTTTTAAAATTAAGCACTTAACTACACATAAAAAAGGGTCTTAAACCCGGCTGTATGGTATTTCAGACATTGTTACAGTTTACTTCCTACCTTGACCGGGACCACTGCTGTCTGTACCATGTTCCGGAAGCGACCAACGGAGGGGTCCACATCCTCTGCAAAAAGAGATGAGGAAAGGGTTAGGCTGGGACTCTGCTAGAAGGCGTTGGGGTCCAGGGAACACTGCGAACAAAGCAATCACAGCAACTCCTAAGAAAACAGTGAAATACAGCTGACACTTCACGTGGCCAGGCACTGTGTCCAATCCTCACAGTAACTGTGCATGAGGAACTACCCTGTGCTCTGCTGGAGAGCGCAGGACGCAGGATTTGAGTCCAGTAGCCAGAAATAGGCTGTGGTGTGTGCCATATAACTTCTCTTTTGAGAGGGGAAAAAATAGAGCAGACATGATCAAATCCCACAAGGCCACACACCCACGTACCTTGCTAATGCCTACTTATTAGCAAATCACAGAATTAGAACTCAGTTTTGGCACTACCAACTTAACTTGGGCTTTTCACCTGCACAACTAAATATGATGAAGACTTTCCACTAAACAACCTGAAGTCCTCTGTCCCTTTGCACAGCGTACACACCTCATATTGTACCCCACAGACCTTCTAGCTTCACTGGCAATGCGGGGGGAGAACATTAAGACCAAGTAAGGGATGGGCCTCCCCTGGTGGCGCAGTGGTTGAGCACTGGGCTGCGAAGCTGCCCGCAGCCTCTGCAGCGCCGGTTCGATCCCCGGCCGCCGCAAGGGTCCCACATGGCGCACAGACCTCTCCTGCTGCACCCGCTGCTCGCCTCAGCAGTGTACTTCGTCAGTCTGCCTGTTCTTTTCCCGCTCTGGCGAATTCTCTCACCCTCCCGTGCTTCTGACTGTACCCAGTGCTTATATAAATAAATAAATAAATCTTAAAAAAAAAAAAAAGAAAAAGAAAAAGAAAAAAAGACCAAGTAAAGGACATGCATAGAGCCAATGAACCTCTCAGGTCTCATTCATTGGACATGGAAACAAAGAGAAAGACCCTGCTCACAGACTCACAGCTGTAAAGCCAGAGAGGCTACAACGCAGTGGAAGTGGTTCCACAGAGGTGGGGAAGAGCGCTTGCAAAGTAGAGATGACGGAACTGCATCACCCAAGATGCAGCAGGCCGAATGTGGGGCAAGAGGCAGGCCAAACTTATTACGAGAAAAATAACTCCAAGCCCCTTTTATCTTACGGTGGCAGGAAAGAACCCATTTCTCTACTAGATGCTGTACATCTTATTTTAAATTCATGGAAGGCACTTGCTATTTAAAGCAACACTGTCATTTGTTTTCCTGTGGAAAACAAATAAACCCCTAATTTGTCTTTTTTTCCACATTTTATTTAAATTTTATATTTTATATTCCCCATACAATTACAACCCCCTTATTTTGACCCAAGCCCTCCTTTCCCCACCCCCAACCCCCATAGAGTGTCTGTGAATAAACCCCTAATTTGTTTTAAGACTGGCTTTTCACAAATTAGGAAGCCTTTAAAGAATATACCCTACTATTACATTCATAACCAATCTTAGCTCAATGAATGAACAAATGACTTCTATAGGGAAGAGGAGGCAAAGATAATAAGGTTCATTAGGAGAGAGATCAAGTCTCTAAAAAAAGAAACCTCTTTTCTCTCATCCCCACAGGAGCTCTATTCTAATCATTTCTTCAGTGAGGCAAGTGAAACGAAATACAAGAGCGACTAGAGCCCAGTAGCTGGAATGCACCTTGCACAGGCAACAGGCTTGTGCTGGCTGAGGTGCTCAGGCCACTCTCCCTTCTCATTCTCTCTGGCCTTTCTACTCCTAGAGAAGACACGCCCATTCCAGGGTTATCTGCTGACAAGGCCCCTACGAACTGTTTCTAGGACAGGAAAGACTTAATGGGTAAAAAGCAGCAGATGATGGTGACAAGGGTTTATGTTCATCATGAGCTCACTGAGTGCTGAACACTGACCTGACATGTACATGTATATGTACATTATCTACTCTCCCCACCAATCCTGGGAGGTCAGTGGTCTGTTAAGTCGCTTGGCTGGTCACATAGCTACTAAGAGAGGTGGATTTCAAACCTAGGCTCTCTTATTTCAGAACTGGTATGTTGTGTTTTTTTAATATTTAAATTTTTTTTTTTTGCATATAAGAATTGGGTGTAGGCCAGAGGTGCGGGGTTGAGAGGATTCACCAGAGACAGAGTGGGAGCAGAACAGGCAGATTGACTGAAATACACTGCTAAGGGGATTTTGCTGTGCCATGTGGGTTAGTTAGCTTTTGATAGTACTGAGACTTTAACCCCTGTGCCACCCAGGAGGCCCCAGAACTGGTGTGTTTTTTTTTTTTAAAAAAGATTTATTTATGCATACAAGAGCTGGGGCACAGGCCAGAGATGTGGGGGGTGAGAGGACTCACCAGAGACAGAGTGGGGAACAGAACAGGCAGACTGACAGAAATACACTGCTGAGGGGAGCAGTGGGCAAGATAAGAGAGGTCTGCTTCGCCATGTGGGTTGCTCCCTGGTGGGCCGGCGGTCGAACTCGTACTGCAGAGGCTTCAGATTGCTTCATAATGTGATGCTTAACCCCTTGCACCACCAGGGAGGCCCCAAACTGGTGTTCTTAACTGCTATGCAATACTATATGAATATACTTCCTTAATAAAGCTCAGGGCAATAATTTCTAAGGAGAAAAACAGAACAGATCAGACCTTAAGTCGTAAAAGAGACTTAAAATACTGTGAAGTCCATGGTTCCCAAATTGCTATTCATCAGGACAAACAAGAGCTTGTTTAAATCTATAAATTTCTGGGTCTAACCCCTAAAACTTACATTCAATCAGTTCTGGGGTCCAGAAATAAGCATCCCGTATTTGGAAAGCCGCTTAGGCATTCATTGCCTAAAGAGTAATCCCGTACACTTTACACACCACCAGAAAGTGAACTTGCAGTCACTGGAACAAATGCTCCACTCTCACGGCAATCCTCTGAATTCTTCTTCTGAACATAAACCAGAATTCACTGTTGCTTTCTTTTTTTTTTTTTTTATAGAGGCATGTTTTTTTATTTATTTATTTGTTTGTTTTGTTTATACATGCACTGGGTACAGTCAGAAGCGTGGGAGGGTGAGGGAATTCACCAGAGCCAGAGTGGGGAGCAGAGCAGGCAGAAGAACCGAAGTACACTGCTGAGGGGAGCAGCGGGCGGCAGGAGAGGTCTGCGCGCCATGTGGGACCCTCCTCCGGTGGCCGGTAGCCGGGGAGCAGCCGGGGATCGAACCGGCGCTGCAGAGGCCGAGGGCAGCTTCGCAACCCAGCTCTCAACCGCTGCGCCACCGGGGAGGCCCTCACTGTTGCTTTCTAAGATGAGTCAAATACTTGCTGCTGACTGGCTCTGGTTTTGTCCTCTCCTTCCTCCTTAAGCCATGCAAACATCTGGCCAGTGGCAGACCAACTGCTCTCCAGATTCCCCAATATTACCAGCATTCAGGGGACCATTTTCCATAGTTGTGAGTCTCCTCATCTTCAGGACTACATTACACATTGATGGTTAAGACCACACTTGCATTTGGTAACACTCTTGGGTGAATTCTGCTCAGAACACAGGCCAGTGGGAGTTCTCTAGTAATGCAATCTTAAAATGCACTTGGCTAGTTTCCAAACCACCCCCCCCCCATGACTCAGGCTGCATTTTCAATTAAGTAAAATCCCTAGATTTTTTTGTTTTTTTCCATGAGCGGTTGCTGGAATATATCTCCATTTGAGTAATCGGTATTTGGAATCTAAATGCAGGATGTCAACGTTATTTTCATTCCATTTCGATCAGAGATACAAAAAAGCAACCTGTTAGTCTGACATCTTTGTTTCTAAACAAGGTTTTCTGAATCCCAATTCTGTCTTCATTGTATAAACTGTATCTCCTAGCTCCACGTCATCCACCTACCTGAAAACCTGGGCAACAACATGAGCCCAATAAATGAATGCTGAATGATGGAGCAAATTGGTAAACTTAGTGGTCTTCCTATAAACTGATGCTTGTATCTTCTGACATCTTCAGACAGAAACTGTAACTTACTTCCTTACAGAAAGGAAAGTCTTAATATGCTAATTAATAGTAGCAGTGAGGGCCTCCCTGGTGGCACAAGGAGTTAAGATGTAACCTATGAAGCTATCTGCAGGCACTGCAGCACGAGTTCAATCCCCAGACAAGGAGCTACCCACATGGCACAACAGACCTCTCCTGTCTCGCCCGCTGCTCCCCTCAGCAGTGTATTTCAGTCTGCCTGTTCTGTTTCCCACTCTGTCTCTGGTGAATCCTCTGGTGAATCCTCTCATCCCCCACACCTCTGGCCTGTACCCCAGTTCTTGTAGGCATAAATAATCTTTTTTAAAAAAACAGTAGCAGTGGGAGGACCCCAATCTTAAGAGTTATCAGTCATACTCAGAACACCATCAAGACAATAATTGTCTACTTTCAGGTAAAGACAGCCAACACCTGTACTCCACTTAAAACCCCATTATGCCACATGCCAGATCAGCAGGGAGGAACTGCAGCCATGTCCTGTAGACTGATTATATGGGTCCTTCCTTCCCCACTTTTATCCTTCAACTACATACTGCCTGAGTGGCCAGGGGCCCCCACCAATGAACTGTACAAAAATATCTCCCCTTGGGCCTCCCCTGGTGGCGCAGCGGTTGAGCGCTGGGCTGCGAGGCTGTCCGCAGCCTCTGCAGCACCAGTTCGATCCCTGGTCACCGGCAAGGGTCCCACATGGCGCGCAGACCTCTCCTGCCGTTCCCGCTGCTCCCCTCAGCAGTGTATTTCGTCAGTCTGCCTGTTCTGCTCCCTGCTCTGGCTCTGGTGAATTCTCTCACCCTCCCGTGCTTCTGACTGTACCCTGTGCTTGTATGAATAAATAGATAAATCTTTAAAAGAAAAAAAAAAAAATCTCCCCTTAATATGGCACCTGTTGTCCTAAACCTTATTGAGAAACATCACAACTGACCCAAAGTTGGTACACACTATGCTCTCAGACCACAGCTTCTCCATCAAAGAAACCAGGAAGATACTTCACCTGGGTTGATGATCTCATCATCCTCACTGAAAGTCACCCGTGAGTTCTTCCTCTTTCTCTTTGGTCTCTGAATGTCCAGATTCCCCTCCTCTATGGTGAGGGTGGAAATCCGCTTGTTGTGGGCAGTGTTGAACTCTGTCAGGTTCTACGCCAGGGCACACACAAGAAAGACAGGAGTCAGTACCAAGGGAATTATGAAATTACAACACTAAATAAAGGGCAGGAAGGCATTAGCTTACTTTGACCCACGGCAGACAAGATTTTCTTCGGCATTTGCAAAAGATTTGCTACTGTCCCTAGACTGCTAATGCTAATGAGTCTCATCTGACAGAATGTGAACGTCCACATTAACTAGTGGAGCAGTGACATTCAAAAGAAGGGCCTTGAGCTGAGAACTGGTCATCTATGCAAATATCTTTGAGTGAAGGTTTTTGTTTTTTAATTGAAGGAAGGTTATCATGTCTTCGCGCTGAGAATTAAAGAAATATGACTGGGAGAAACTCCAAAAATTGTCTCTAATGAAACAAAGATGAGAAAGGACAACTGCACAGCAAACTCATAAGGACATCACCAGTGCATTTAATATTTGGCATTACTATTTTGTTACTCCCAACCCCATCTCAATGATTAACTTGGCCTCAGCATTGCTACCCGCCTCCTCCCAGTCCTCTGGGTTTATTCCAGTCTGCACTGCAGCTTGAGGTATTTCAAAGGTATTGAGAATGAGAACTCAGGCAGGACCTAAATGTTAAACTAAACATAAGCATGAATGCATTCTGGAGAAGAAATGGGCAAGGATGCCAGAAAGGTCTGTGGCTGTGAGGCTACTCCTTGAGAACAAAACAACTTCTAAACTGTAAGATTTCTATTGTTTTTCTTTGTAAGGGATGGGAACTACCTTGGTGAACAGGAATAATAAATGTATGTGGGTGGTTATGGATATTCTTGCTTTGACTGGCTGAACAGACCAAGCACCACCAGAGCAGCAACAGACAGATGAAGGACTGTTATTACATCACAAAGTACTGGGTCAGTCTTTAGACTAGTTTCTAGAAAAGGAAAACACTTTAAAATGAAATCCTGGGCCTCCCTGGTGGCCTATGGGTTAAGTCTCAGTGCTATCACCACTGAGTTCGATCCCCATCCGGGGAACTAAGCCATACGTGGCACAGCAGACCTCTTCTGTTTAGCCCGCTGCTCCCCTCAGCAGCATATTTCAGTAGATCTGCTTGTTGTGCTCCCCACTCTGTCTCTGGTGAATCCTCTCACACCCCCCGGCACCTCTGACCTACATCCCAGTTATTCTTCGCAAAAATTAAGAAAAAACAATTATAAAAAATAATTAAAAAATGAAATCTTCTAAAACTCATAGCCGCAGGACAGTCAGGCCCATAAGAACAAAAGTAATCTAGCTCTTTCCAGAAGATTCCGGGGATGTTCAGACAACAGTAAAAAACTATGCAAATGAATGAAAGCTTCAGCCTCTCAAGTCAGGACTGTAAAGCTGAACTTTCTGGATGATGGAAATGTTCTCTGTGCTTTTGAAAATGGTAGTCACTAGTCACATGTAACTACTCAAATGTGGCTAGTGGCTACTAGATTGGACAGTGCAGTTATAGAAAAACGTAACTCTAAGCCTTGGCTTCTAACATCCAGTGACAGTGCACAAGACAACCATAAAGGTCTACTGACAGAGAGGCAGTCTCCTCATCAACTCCGGCCGCACATAACCAAACCTACACATTGCGGCTCTCTGAGGAGCATCACAAATGCCCATCCAACACTGCAGAAGAGGAAAACCTCTACTTACTGCTAAGTCATTGAGATTTTAAGCTACACAGAACCACTAGGGCACAAAAACCAGAGATCCAAAAGACAAAATGGTAACATGGATTTACATCAAGCTCGGTTTCCTCCTCTGGAAGCCCCAGTAAGCCCTTGAGTTCATCATCCTCTCCACCCATCTTCTCATCTCCTTTCACAGCCGATGGCAATGTTTGAGGCTTCTCACGTAGAGTGTACGCTCTTGTGGATGCGCCAAATGAGACCGTGGAGTCGATGGGAATTTGCTGAGGCTTGTGAGGCTCCAACCGAATGTGACCCAAGAAAGTGCCGTGTGCTGAGAATAACCAAATCAGAAATGTGAGGGAAAACAAACAAAACCAACCTGAGTCTCAGAAGGGAGAGCAGCTCCTCCCAGCACATCAGTTTTGCTTTTTAAAGTGAAAATGGCAATGGGTCCACTTTGCATCCCTTTTCATGGGTCACAATAAAAAGGAAAACTCCTTCACTGGGTCTTGAATCTCTTCAGTGGATTTCTTACACATCTTCAGACCTGTTGCACCCCAAGTAACAAATACCATTGCTTGTTCTCTGCTGCAGACAGGCTTGGCTCCATTCTGGGTTCAGCAGGAATGGCTCCAACCCAGAAACAGCCATGGCCCTCCAAGGCAGGAGACAGGCATCGCAGTGGTCTGACCGCTCCAGCCCCAAGTCTAAGGAACACAGGCCTGGTGGCAGTTATGCCGGGGCTTTCCCCAGGACAAGGAGAGAGGTTGGCTGAAACAGGTGCAATATCAATGCCAAGACAAGCCAAAATTCTACTGGAGATTCTGAATATTTTTCCATGTCTGCATTCTGTGCATTATGAAATGGAGAAAAAAATGAGATAAATTTGCAAGTAAGCACTTGTGAAACAGCTCTCCGAAACCAATATATAAATAGATCGGGGTGGTATGTGTATGTGTATGTATTATGTGTGTGCGTGTGCTGGGGGAGAAGGTGGGGCTAGAACACAACCAACCCAAGAAGCAGGATCCTTGGTCCCAAGCAGTCAAGTCTCAATTGCATTTTTGTGGATTATCTTTGACAAAGCTGAAAACTTAATAGTCAGCATGTGCTTATGGAATTAAAGTTGACTATTAGTAGTAGTCAAAGTAAAAGTAGCTGGGATAAAGGTCCCATTATAAAAAGTTAAATTTTGCTCAAAACAAATATATATATTTTTTAATGCTCTGTACCATTACCCTATTAAGTCACAGCTGCTTAAATTGGAACACAATTTATCATGGTTCTACAATATGTGAATACCCACAGTCCCTAGTTTTTGGGTGCATTTTTGGCTTTGTTTTCTCTGTAGACCTACTGCTGCCTCCAGGACAGTACACCCCAAAGCCCTCGTCTCTCCCTTGTCATCATTTATTTCAGTAGGAGTAATTATAGGGAGAGAGAAGGGCTGATTTAAAAACCATATGTAAACTTCCTTGATGAGCAATAAAACAAGTTTTCAAAACTGAGGAACCCAAAGAGCATTTTCACATTGCCCAAAAGGGAATGTGTGAAACCGGATGGGATGTGAGTTACTTACTACTGTTGAGATCTATTAGGAAAACTCTCTTCAGATGCTTGTGGTAGACCAAGGCAGCGTGGACCCGAGAGCAAGACTGGTGGTCAATGGTAAAGTCACACAAATCAGGGTTTCTCCCAAATAAGTAATACTTCTTCTCATCAATAATCAGTTTCTAAATAAATATTAAATTAAATATTACTTAAGTCAGGGTTCAGCAAAAATTCTTCCAGTCAAGTAACTAAAGGATCTTGAGTAGATAAAATTCTTTGCCAAGGTAAAAAAATATATATATATTTCCCATTATTCTTTAAGACAAAGAGCTGAGAGTGATTTACTATCATTTTTTTTTGGGGGGGGGATAAATAATACTTAATCTCCCCAAATATAGTGGTCAAATGTCTAGTGTTCGTATGAAAAGAAGTTTTCTTAATTCTATTAGATGAACATAGCCTGCAAGAGTTATCGTCTCTCCTTTGGAAATTTAAGATTTCACTAAATCTTAATTTTAGGTCAAGCAGGAAACAAGAAGCACAAAGCTTTTCTATAAAGTAACAAAATGCTTTTCAGAAAATAAACATTCAAATGAAGATCATCGATTAGTCAGGAAAAGAAGAGGGTGGAAACACCTAATCTATATTCTAATCATACAGCCACAGCCCCCAAATATTCAGGAACTGGAATTACATTAGACATTGTACAAACCTCTACATTTAACTTTATTGCCCCATTTCACTTTGGCCACAAGAAAAGTATTATTCAGGGTTACCTCTAAATGAGCATTTGCTATGTCCAAATATGGAACTACCACACAAGGGAAAGATTTTCCAGATGGGGGAAGGGCATGTGGGGATTATTAACATTTATTGAAGGACCTTAATGTAGGTATTTGAAGCATTACCTAATTCTCAAAACAACTCTGTTAAAGAAGTATCACCTCTATTGTTAAAGACAAGAAAATAGATTCTGAGAGAAGTCACTCATTCAAGGTGGCCCAGCTGGTGAAGTGGCAGATCTAGGATCTAACCTCAGGTGTGAATGACATGCAATGCTAATATGCTAAACAATGTACCACAGGTCTGAAATAATTCTAAGAGAAGAGCTCAAAAATGTCACCAGCCTCTGATGTGGCAACGGAAAAAATAAGACTACATAATGCCCCCCCCCCCGCAACCCCATATAACAGCAGGAAAGGGGATTTTACAGATCAGTGAACTGTTATTAAAACAATTACACAGGAGAAGGAGCTGATAAAGCATTGCTAATCGTTTATTTTGCCAAATAAAAACACTTAAAAAGCCACCATTTAGCATCATTACAATCGTTTTAACAGTAGGAAGAGCCAGGACCACTCTTTTCAGTTGAATTTTGCTTTATGAAAAACTACACTGCCCTTATTTTTCTCTTACTCCTACATCAGTAAAGCCTTTGTAGGAGATTGGTTTAGACAGGGACTATCACAGATGAAGGACTCTAGATGTATTTGTGTGCATATTTCCTCCAGTTTTGAAAGTCTATAGCCATTTTGAAGAATAACCCTCACTTGGGTTTGTTATGTTTTCCCTTTAAACACAAAGTCTCATTAAGCTGTAGTTCACATTCACATTCTACTCCTAATATTCCTGAGAGAAGGGGGCCTCCCTGGTGGCGCAAGGGATTAAGATGCAACCTATGAAACTGTCCGTGGCCACTGCAGCACAAGTTTGATCCCTGGCCAGGGAGCTACCCACATGGCTCAGCAGACCTCTCCTGATTCGCCTGCTGCTCCCCTCAGCAGTGTATTTCACTACATCTGTCTGTTCTCCCCACTCTGTCTCTGTTGAATCCTCTCACCCCCCACACCTCTGGCCTGTACCCCAGTTCTTGTATGCATAAATAAGTAAATCTTTAAAAAAAAATTCCTGAGAGAAGGCAGCACAAAGCTGTGTAGAGGACAGTTAAGTCAGCACTGTACCAGGCTAGGAATTGAGAGGTTTATATTTCCTTCCTGTTTATGTCGCTGAACTCACAGTGGGCTACTATTCTCCCTTATGCTTCAGTGTCTCCCCTACAAAGCCAGAAATGAACCTCATGCACTGCTAACAGTAACAACTGTTGTGCACTCATGCACCATGCATACTGTGCTATGCATTTATGCTTTGTCATTTCATCCTCACCAGCACTCTGGGAGATGGGGAGGTACTATTCCTATTTTTGTAGATGAGAAAACTGAGCAATTAAGAAATTAATTAACCTATTCAAAATCATATATCTAGGTATTTGTAAGCTGGATTAGAAATTCTGGTCTGACTTCAGAATCTAAGCTTTTTAAAGCACTGCACCATATATTTTCTTTTCTTTTTTTAAAGATTTATTTATTTATGCATACAAGAGCTGGGGTATAGGCCAGAGATGCGGGGTGTGTGTGTGCGTGTGTGTGTGTGAGAGAGAGAGAGGATTCACCAGAGATAGGGCGTGGAACAGAACAGGCAGATTGACTGAAATACATTGCTGAGGGAAGCAGTGGGAGAGACAGGAGAGGTGTGCTTCCCCATGTGGGTTGCTCCATGGCGGGCCAGGGATCGAACTCGTGCTGCAGAGGCTGCAGATTGCTTCATAGTGCAATGCTTAACCCCTTGTGCCACCAGGGAGGCCCCACACCATACGTTTTCTTCACTCTACCTACATCAAAAACTTCGCCTTATGGCAAGAAACATTTAAAAGAGTGAATACTATGGGTCACATTCTTAATTTTTCTTTAAATAATCATTTACCCAGTTCCTTTCAAGCTTAGTCTTAAGACTCCATTAGTTCAATTAGTTAAGGTAGGTGGCTTACCTCTGGGGTCACAGGCCAATACTGCTAAGGGGCACCAAGACTTTACAACTGCCTGACAGCTCAATCAGACAACTATCCCCACGTCTGTTTAGACCCAGGTTTTAAGACTTTGGTGAAAAATAAGACACTGGTTTAGAATTGAGATGCTCTGAAATATCAACATCTTTCTCTCTCTAGGTAATACTATGCAGGTTGAATCCGTCTGCCATTTCTCATTCATATTTATGTACACACAGATTATGTCTTCACAAACCAAAATCTGCTAGCCAAAGTGCTCAGAGATTGGTCTCAAGGAAGACAATACAGTTGATCCCTGAACAACATGGGGGCTAGAGGCCCCAACCCTGCAGTGCAGTAGAAAATCTGTGTCTAGCTTTTGATTCCGCCCAAACTTAACTACTAATGGCCTGCTGTTGACCAGAAGTCTTACTGATATGTCCAATGATACATATTTTGTTATATACTGTATTCTCACAATAAAGTAAGCTGGAGAAAAAAATATTACTTAGAAAAACCACAAGGGAAGTAACATTTAAGTACTTTACTATATTTATCAATACCATGATTACCATGTCTACTTAAAGAAAACCTGCACATAAGTGGACCTACACAGTTCAAATCCATGTTATCCAAGAGTCAGCTGCTTCAAAGACCACCAGGTCTTGGGTTCTAATATAACACTGAGCAAATTTCTATGATTCTAAGGTGCAAAGTCATAACAGAGATTTCGGTGTTGAGAGGGAAAATAAGAGAGAAGGCCTTCAAATTAAATATACACATTCACTCATTACTAAAGACATCTCAGCTGCAGAAAGGTTAAAATGCAGGGGAAAAATATTTAGAATTGTTGGACAATGTGCCTCTTCTGTGCAGGTGAATGAAATATGCATCAATCATTAACAATCATTAAGCCCACAATTTCTTGACAAGTTATGGTACTGCTATTCAATTGTGCCTCTGAGTTATAACTCAGTGTGTGTCTTTACACACTGGGCTTAAAAGACTCATGGCTTTTGTTTTAATATTGCACTTCTTAAACCCAGCTATCACAACACATCGCAAGCCTCTGGCACAAGGCTAGGATATAGATAGCTCGGTTAGTATCAAGTGCTGTCTAAATCCTTAAAAATAAGCATATTTCAATTCATTTCAAAAACAATACAGAGATCTCTAAGGATTATAACTTGACAACCATGAGGCAAATCAGCACACCTAAGAACAATTAAAGACAGAGAACATTATCAGTTAATGGAAACCAGTAATCAGAGGGATGTTGACAAGTTAAGTGTTTTGAAGATACAAATTATTTCACAAAAGGATATATTATCTTTAAGGTTAGTCTTCTTGTTGAAAAGGAAGATTTACTAAATTCTAATAACAAAATAGATTTCTGTATGTCGGGCCTCCCTGGTGGCGCAGGCAGCTGAGCACAGCACTATGAAGCTGTCCACAGCCTCTGCAGCGTGGGTTTGATCCTGGCCAGCCGGGAAGATACCCACATGTTGCGGCAGAGCTCTCCTGTCTTGCCCGTTTCTCCCTCAGCAGTGTATTTCAATCAGTCTGCCTGTTCTGTTCCCTGCTCTGTGTCTGGTGGGTCCTCTCACCCTCCCGCACATCTGGCCTGTACCCTGGTTCTTGTATGCATGAATAAATACATCTTTAAAAAAAAAAAAGATTTCTATAGGTCTTCAAAGCTTCATGCTATTGCTACTGTTCTTTGGAACAGTCTAAATTATCTCCTTGAATAATATCTATTGTAAGCTTTAAGATTCTTGTATAAGAATCCATGACAAAGAGCAAAATACCTAGGAATCTCTTTAACATCCTGAAAATGACCACATATTTACATAACATATGTTAGGAGATCGCACAGACAGTTTTCAACCATGGAATGAAATGTGTTTAATATAAATCAAAGAAAAACAACTGCACTCAGTAATGGGGCCTTGAATGTAAATTCTGAGTAAGCAAATATAAAGTTGGTCTTAGACATGGAAACCCACAACTCCATGGTCATCGTGGGTTCAATCTCCATTTCCTGATAAATGGTCCCATAAGGATGGAAAAAACCTCATACAACCTAGCTAATCAAAATTTATGTTCTCTTAACTTCCTATGTGATATTCACTCTGAAGAGATTATAAAAGCTGGAATGCTGCTAAATTTTTTCTTTATAATGCTTATTTCATGTAAAATTTTTTTTGTGACAGTGTCTTTCAGTTCAGGAACCATATTTGTTTTGTTCACTGTTGTACTATGCTAAATATAGGAAGCACTCAAATGTTTTAAATGAATGAATTTTGGCACTATTTCATTATCTTTTTGATCAAGTGTCTTAGTTTGCTATCCTCCTTTGAAGAGTTTGAGCCCGCATCTCATAAAAGAGACTCAAAAGTTAAACTCAATCTACATCATTGTCCTTCAGCCACTGCATATCTTGCACCTTCCATGCAAGTCCATGGTCTCAGGAGGGAAATTCACCAAGTTACAAGGCTTCCGGTTTTATGGGGGCCAATAGGCCCATGATATATAAAAACCCTTCTTTTGGAAGGTGAGAGAAGTCACAAAAAACTGAGTGTCTGTGGGAGATATGAGGTTTAAATGTGTTATGTCACTATGTGCTTTTAATAGAAAAAAAAAAAAAAAGGATGAACAAAAGTAGCATTGCTGGAAAACAAAGCACAGGAGAGGGGGTGGAAAAGTGAGTCACTGGCAAAACCTCTAGTGTGACGGAAAAAAAGGGGAAGACATACATTTCCATACCTCAATTAGTTTGTCTCCTTTGACTACATCCAGATGTAAACCAGGTGGGGGTTTACCTGCCCTGAAAAATAAGAATGAAAAAAACATTATCAGGACGAGTTCACTGTAAATGCCATTTACAATCACTGTCCCATTCAACACTGCAGCGATCCTACCAGTCTATAATTAGTTCAATTTCAAGCAGAAATGTCATCTACTTCACTGTTATTTCAGCTCCTTTCTACATTGACACTTCCCCAGTGATTCAATTGCTCTAAAACAGATTTTGGTGGATCTGTATTTTGAGCAGCACCGAAGAAACCTGCATTTTTAACACTGGATTATCTACCTTGGAGAGAAAGAGCATAAAGTACAAGTACTATAGCCGGGAGAGTTGGTCACTGGGAGACTGACTCTAAGATTTGCCACTATTACTAATACCATACAGGTAGAACAAATGGGTTGCTGTTTTGGGATTATGGAGATTATTCTCATTGCAGAATAAGCACAGGATATTGTCCTGAGCTCTGAGACCAAATCAAGAGGAGCATAATTAGGGAACTAGGGCAACAAAGAACCATGCCCATGAAACCAGGTGCCAAATAAATACAAGAGAAATGTGTTGCCCTTCAGCAAGTCTTTCTACAATGGCATATAAGGGACCTTTTCTCTATAACCCTATGGCCACACCATTCAAGGAGGATACGCATGTCAAAGTACCAAACAATGGCTGGTACACACCAGACTGAGGAAATGGCAGGTTTTGAAATCAGCACAGCATGGGACACACATTCACTCTTTCTGTATTTGGGCCTTTGATCTTGTCCAAGTCCCTACATTTGCACACAAAAAGCACCCGCTTCCATTTAATTGCATATGCAACATAGTCACCTCATCCTAGGTCCCAACTCCTAAAGGCAACTGTTGAAAGGACAAAACAACAGATTAAAACCCATTTTGTCTGGGAAACAGGGAAAAGAAAGTTACATCCAAGGCATACTTTCTGAACTCCTACTGTGTGTCTGACTCAGGCCTAGAAGCTGGGAACATGAGGATGCACCAGAAAGCCCTCACCCTTGAGGATCTCAATGTAATGGGAGACAGTAGTGACACACAATACACTGTGATGATGTGCAGCAGAAACGGTCTAACTCGGAGGGTCTCCATGCAAGGCAATGCATATTAATTCACCTTGTACCCTATTCAAAGACTAATTTCTTCCATTATTTTCAGGAACTTGCGAAGGATGAAAGGGGTTCACTCCAGCAATTACTGATGTCCACTTGTGCTCGACTTCGCGCTGGGGGCCGAGAACGCGGAGGTAGGTCAGAGCCGTCCCTCCCCTCAGGGAGCTCCCAGTCTGCGAGAGGCAGAGTAGTACCGCACCCGGGATGCGGGGCTCTGAGGCTGGGTTGGGGGCGGGAAGCTGGCTCGTGCGCGCTCGGGACAGAACAGGGGGGCAGGTACGGTGTTCCACAAGAGCACCAGGCATCCAGTCAGGAGTTGGGGTAAGTTCGGGACAAACGCCGAAGTGCCCGGGCGCCCGCCTGATCGCCCGAGAGGATACCAAAGCGAGGGCCTCCGAATCCCCAACACCGGGCTTTCTCAGTTCCTGGGCCCGAGCTCCAGGCTCCCGGCTCCTCCACACGCCGCCCGGCCCGACGGGCAGTTCTCCCTCAATCACTCCCAGGGTCTCGGAGCCGCTCGGCTCGCTGCGAAAAAAGTGAGTCGCCCTTTCAGCCCGGGCCAGCGCGGGCCAGGCCACTCCATCCCCGGTTGCCCCGCCACTCACCAGGTCGGGCAGTCGAACAGCGGGAGGCTGGAGCCGGAGTTTGCGGCTGCCGCCATCTTGCGTCTCCCCCTCCCATTTGGCGGGCCCGAAGCACGCCGGGAAACTGGAAGACCGGGGCGGGGGAGACGGCATCCCAGCAGCCTGTGCGTAAGCGCGCGCACTTACGCACTCACGTATGGGGCGCTTCTATGGTGGTGGAGGCTGGGGTGTCATTCATGGCTGTGTCGGCTTTTGAGAGTTGGATTTCTTGGAAGGGTGGGGCTTTCCTTGGCCGGGAGTCAGGTGAGAAAGAGGGGAATCGGTCTCCCCATCCGCCGTCTTGCAAACATGCCTTTGGGCTCTAAAATCTTGCGAGTCCAACCTTGCTTTGGGTTTGCATCGTCAGCCTGTGACCCCCTTCTAGAGGAAACTAGCAGGCCGAGCTCGGAGATTGGGGCGACCACTCCTCCAGTTTCTCCCCTTCTGCCCTTTCCTGGAGCTGCGCCCTACTCATTTCCTCTTCCTAATTCACATCTGGGACTTGCGAGCTTCCGTACTTGGGATGCAGCCTAAGGAGACCATCTAGTCTTTATGAAAACTTTGAACTAGCTGGCCCTTAGGGCAGGTTCAATGAGAAGACAGGCGTCCAAATCACTGCATGACTGAAATGGTTAATCAAGTTACAGCCCTTTTCTATTTTTAAATTCCGTTCATAATGTTAGGGGGAAAGGATGTCCTGAGATAATCTCATACAGGCTTTGTGGACCCACAGTCAGGCACCCCGTTTTGTATCGGGGTTGCTCTATAACAATAATGACTAGTTTGTGCAAGGAAACTTTAGAATTGGGCCTTGCCCTAGGCTACCAGTTTGCTGAAAACACCGTTAATATAAGGGCCTCTGGTTGCAATGGCTTTGTATATTGAGTGTCACTTATTCGGTCAAAAGGTATTTAATATGGGTGGTCTCATGTAGTCCGCACAACACTTGAAATAGCTGTTATGGTCCTTGAGGGGAGGTGCAAGGAAGCCCAATCCTTCCTTGAGGGAATCAAGGTGCCCACCCTCACCCTAGAACAAGTGCTGAGTGGGATTCAAACCTAAATGTACGATTCCCAGGGCCATTCACTGTCTACCACGGTCACACTTAGATGTTGGTACAATTGTGATTATTATTAGCATGCAGCTGATGCCCAACACTTCCTCGCTTGCACAGAGAACTTGGGAGGATTATCTGACCCACAGGTTTCTTAAAAAAAAAAAAAAAAAAAAAAAAAAGGTGAAAAATCACTGTTTACTGAGTAAGGAGAACTGCACAGGGAGCTATGGAATCTCTTCCTATAATGGAGTCATTTCTTGATTCCCTTGCTCCTGGTCCTCTAGATCTTAAATATCAGCCTACTGAAAAGATTATTGCCCTGGTGACATCTCTAGGCCTCAAGATTTAACTGCAGCATACTATTAATTTGGATTTTAAGTTATCAGTTCTTGGGCAGGTAACTGATTGGGTAGGTTCATGATTCTGACCTTCAAAAGCACAGTAAACTCATCCAAGAGTGTTAACTCATCAGATCACTTACCACATGACCTATTAATATCTTCCTTTTCAACCTTGTGATTCCAAAGAAAACACTAGGGTGATGGGAAAAATACAAACTCTTAAGCTTGGTTTTAGGAAAACAGGCTAAAACAGGCCGTGGCTCCCTCCTTTGTGCACAAGGACTTCAGAGGAATTAAATAGTCTCAGAAGTGGTGTAAGTGTAACAAAAAAGTACACAGTACTTTCATCAAAGTACCGAGATTGTGTGGGCCCTTGAGGTTCCATGCCCTTTCAGGTCTGAGGTAATGAAGCCATTTCCAACTGTCAGTGAACTGATAACATGTCAATTCTGCTTTTGCTGTTTGTGTGTGTGTCCCATTGTTTAATCCCCTTTGGTACTGACTATACACCAAGAAAGCTAAAGCTATAGTCTTACCCTTAAAATTCTTTTCTCCTCGGCCATGTTCCCTGTCACCAGCACAGTTGATATTCACACTGGCCTCTGATAGAGTCCCACCTTACATTTACCTAGGCCTTATAAAGCAAAATGCTCTTTGTTTGGGCGCCAATGATGTCAGTAAAGACAAACTGGAGGGCAACAGTCTAGGCCCTTAATCTTTTGAAGTAGACTAATGGGCTAGTTGCCTTTGGATTTTGGTACCTCAACAAAGATTACTTTCTTAGACTTTGAGACTTCCTTAGAATAGAATCTAAAGACATTAGGAGCAATATTGATGTCAGAAACTTTCTTTAAACATTTTTGATGGGAAAGTGATTGAATGAAGACACAAAAAATTGTTTTGTGCATAAATAGTATAAGCAGAAGGCTTCATTTAGCAGGGGAGTCAATGAAGTTTACAAACTACTGATAGATGTTCTTGAAAAGTTGGCTAAAAATTGCCACTACTACAGATTTTTAGGGAAATCTTCCTGAAAGAGGTGGTTTGTTAGGATAGTTTGTTATAAGAGATAGTTTGTTATCCGAGATGGAGACAGTGGGTTTTGTGCCTGAGTGTTTGAGATTAGATCCAGGCTCCATCACTCCTAAATTACGTGCCTGTGGGCAGGTTACTGATTTACTTCGCCTATTTCCTAATCCAGAAAAAAAAAAAAAAAGTATAAGAAAAATACATCTACTAGATGATTTTGTGCAAATGTAAAACATTCAACATAATAAATTGCTGGTAGCAGGAGCTCAAATATTATTCCATAAATGACCACCACACGCAAAGCACTGCCTATGAAGCATTTAAGTCTTTAATTCTTGCATTAATTTCTATTTCTGGTCTCAGATTTTTCAGTTGAAAAGTGACAGAGCTGATGGCCTAGCCTAGATGAGTGGTTCAGTCATCAGAAATGTCTTGGACTGGGAAAAATGAGTGATACAGGGGTTATCAACTTTTATTTTGCCAAATATAGGGACTTTAAAAAGGAGACTTCCATCTAACATCACTTTTACTTTTATAATCTTGAAAGATGAACAAAGCACAGCTAAGGAGGATTCTGTAAACAGATTTATTAGAAGTATCTAGCAGAACCTCTCAGAAACTACTACAAATTCCAGATCATTCAACTTCCAGGTTTGCTACCCATGATCCCTGTTACCACCATTGGATTACATGGTATTAAAGAACAGAACCATGGTGGCTTCATTTTACCAAACTGAAATACCAGTTTTACAATCAAGGTTTTCTGTTTTCTGGAATGTTACAGATGATGTATCCAAGACCAGGGTTAATTTGGAGCTGAAGGGACAGTGACCATAAAACCAAGGAATTAGCCCTGAAGCTGTTCCTTGGGTCACAGTGATATCCCAATAGCTCCATCCTGTTTTTTAAGGATAGAACAGCAGCCACACCTATTCCACCCCCAACCAATCCTCACCTGATCTCCAGTCTTCTTGCAGGTCTCATTTTCACTCAGGACAGCACATTTTCAGCTAGAATCTACCACGATAGGATGTTAACTCATATAAACTTACTACAAAAGGTTTTTAAATGTTTATTTGAATTAAGTGGGAAGAATGGTGCTAAAGTGCAGAGAAACTTATACATTTGGGTCCTAGTCTCTTTACTGTTCATTTTAGTTAGTAAAAGATTATTAGGTAACATTGAAGGGATTAGAAGTAGTACATAAAAATATGTCCCAAGTAATCAAATCCTCTAATTTACTAAGATGAACTGAAATTGTTGGCCCAATTCAAATTTATGTGAGAGCCTAAAGTATTTACATTTCCTTTAACTGCTCCAGACCTGTGAAAAAGGGAAGGGGACGACATTGATATTACAAGACAGCAATCTTTTATTGAAACATTTTTTGTCTAAAACTAGGCATGGAGAGATTACTCTCTTGTTCATAAATTAGGCTAAGTCTAACATCACTCACTATTCCAAACCAGTATTATTTACAAATATGAACCTGTTCTTTGCTTTATCACCAGGTTCACAGGACAAAATTTTACACCAACTTCAGTTTAGCTTTTAAAATCTTCCTGCCATCAAATGCCCAGCAACCCTTAGAGCATAGGGGGCAGTCTTGTACAGCAACATTCATCATTCACCAGGAATGTAGAACCACTAATGAACAACAACAAAAATATTAAATCATTCCAAACAATCCCTATTTGCTTTCCAAAAGCATGCTTTGTCTAATTCTCCCTTTCTATACAGACAGGTGGGAGAGAGACCCCATAGAGTATAGTAATGTTAATTAAATTAACCTCTTCAAAAAGTGAACAAGATGGATTAGTGTGTATATGGATGACCTGCTGTGGACGACACTAGCAGATAATGAAGAGAACTTCAAACCCAAATTAACAATGTAGCCCCACAACTGGTCATCCCAGATAGATACTTCTCATTTAATTTGGATCACATGTGCAATTTTTTACTCTCCAGTTAAACACACTGCAAAAACTTTCAAAGCAGATAAAGAATAGCCTGCCTAGAAATTCAAATTAAAATGTTAAATAATAAAAATTGCTGACTCTTAAACAATTTCTGACAGGCTCCACTATGCTGGATGCCAGAAAGTAATTCTATTTCAGTTGCTAGTAAAAAGGTAAATCTGTATACATGTAAAAAGACAATATTACAAGACTGTAGTGTCACCTGTCAAAACAAGAATATCTAGAATGGAATTTTCAGTAAACACTTGGGATGAAGGGCAATCAGAATACTACAGAAAGCAAAATCCACATAAATTAATTCTTAATTTGAGAAATCAATAAAATGTATACATAAAATTGATAAATACTGTCTTCATAGGTCACTAATTCCAAGGACTAGTTAGTAGTTAGTTTCTAACGAAATTATTACAGGACGTTCTGGTATATGCTCTCTTCTTATGATCAGTTTGTTCTGGCAAGACTCCAACAAGCACTTGCCCTTGCAAACAGCTGAGCGGGAGAAGATTCAGGCAATGCTTCATTTGTAAACTAGCCACAAAATAAATGCCAGGATTGCAACAGTCACTGTCAGGACAAGCACCAGGATACAGATCTTCTTGCGAGACTTTTTCTGAGGAGAGAAGTATGTGAACAAGACACTCATGAAAAAAAAAAACGTGTACATCTATGACTTCAAGAGTG